GCCCTGGGCTCCACCGCCGACAGCGCCAGGTGAGAGGGGGCGTCCTTCCTCGACTTCCCCGCAGCAGCTCCAGCCCCTCCAGCTCCCTCTCTCTCTGTCTCTCTACCTCTCTCTGTCTCTGCATATCTCTCTCTCTCTTCTCTCTCCCTCTCCTCTCCGCCTGTCTCTGTGTCCCTTCCCATCTCTGTCCCCCCTGCTCCCCTTTGTAAACCTCTCTGTCCTCCCTCCCTCCCCCATCATCTCTCTCCCCCGCCGGGATCTCCCTCTGCCTTTGTTTCTGTTCCTCTCTCCGTTCCTCTCTCCCTTCTCCCGCTCCATCCGACTTCCTGGGCCCAGCTCTCTCCCTTCTCCCGTCCGTGTGTCTGTCTCTCCCTTTCTCTCTCCGTGTCTCTCAGCCTCTCCCTGACTCACTCACTCTCTCTCTCTCTCTCTCTCTCTTGGGCACAGGGTCCGAGTCCGTGCTGTGGGCACAGGGTCCGAGTCCGTGCTGTGGGCACAGGGTCCCAGCTCTCTCCCCGATGGAGGCCTGTCGGACCTCTGCTGCGGTTTCTATGAATAAAGCTGTTTCTGTCCTCACCACTGTCGCTCCTCTGCCTCCTTCTTCCTTCCTCACTCTGCCTGTGGCTGGGCGTCCTGCCCTGATCCTGGGGGGGCGGGGGGAAGGCCGGGTCCAGGGCTTGGGTTGGGGGTTCTCCCTCAGAGATATCAAGAAGCAGAGGCCTACAGACCGACTGAGAGATGGGGGCAGAGGCAGGGAGAGACCCAGAGACAGGGAGATGCAGGGAGAGACCCAGAGACAGGGAGAGACCCAGAGGCAGGGAGAGACCCAGAGACAGGGAGAGACCCAGAGGCAGGGAGAGACCCAGAGACAGGGAGAGACCCAGAGGCAGGGAGAGACCCAGAGACAGGGAGAGACCCAGAGGCAGGGAGAGACCCAGAGACAGGGAGAGACCCAGAGGCAGGGAGAGACCCAGAGACAGGGAGAGACCCAGAGGCAGGGAGAGACCCAGAGACAGGGAGAGACCCAGAGGCAGGGAGAGACCCAGAGACAGGGAGAGACCCAGAGGCAGGGAGAGACCCAGAGACAGGGAGAGACCCAGAGGCAGGGAGAGACCCAGAGACAGGGAGAGACCCAGAGGCAGGGAGAGACCCAGAGACAGGGAGAGACCCAGAGGCAGGGAGAGACCCAGAGACAGGGAGAGACCCAGAGGCAGGGAGAGACCCAGAGACAGGGAGAGACCCAGAGGCAGGGAGAGACCCAGAGACAGGGAGAGACCCAGAGGCAGGGAGAGACCCAGAGACAGGGAGAGACCCAGAGGCAGGGAGAGACCCAGAGACAGGGAGAGACCCAGAGGCAGGGAGAGACCCAGAGACAGGGAGAGACCCAGAGGCAGGGAGAGACCCAGAGACAGGGAGAGACCCAGAGGCAGGGAGAGACCCAGAGACAGGGAGAGACCCAGAGGCAGGGAGAGACCCAGAGACAGGGAGAGACCCAGAGGCAGGGAGAGACCCAGAGACAGGGAGAGACCCAGAGGCAGGGAGAGACCCAGAGACAGGGAGAGACCCAGAGGCAGGGAGAGACCCAGAGACAGGGAGAGACCCAGAGGCAGGGAGAGACCCAGAGACAGGGAGAGACCCAGAGGCAGGGAGAGACCCAGAGACAGGGAGAGACCCAGAGGCAGGGAGAGACCCAGAGACAGGGAGAGACCCAGAGGCAGGGAGAGACCCAGAGACAGGGAGAGACCCAGAGGCAGGGAGAGACCCAGAGACAGGGAGAGACCCAGAGGCAGGGAGAGACCCAGAGACAGGGAGAGACCCAGAGGCAGGGAGAGACCCAGAGACAGGGAGAGACCCAGAGGCAGGGAGAGACCCAGAGACAGGGAGAGACCCAGAGGCAGGGAGAGACCCAGAGACAGGGAGAGACCCAGAGGCAGGGAGAGACCCAGAGACAGGGAGAGACCCAGAGGCAGGGAGAGACCCAGAGACAGGGAGAGACCCAGAGGCAGGGAGAGACCCAGAGACAGGGAGAGACCCAGAGGCAGGGAGAGACCCAGAGACAGGGAGAGACCCAGAGGCAGGGAGAGACCCAGAGACAGGGAGAGACCCAGAGGCAGGGAGAGGCAGAGAGGGACCCAGAGATGCAGAGACACTCAGGGACTGACAGACAGATCAGGAGGTGCCCAACTGCTGTCCCCCAGACACAGCGGCAAGGACTGGGCAGCCCCCCTCCCTCCCACCGCGCTGTTCGAGGCCCAGGACAATGCGCCCTTGTCCTGGCTCCTGTCAGGGCAGCTGAGTGGGGGTGCTGTGCAGGGAGGGGGCCTGAACTGGGGGAGGGGCATCCACCAGGAGGCCTCCACCCTCAGACTCCCACTCCTCTGCCTCCCCTCTGGCTGCCCGCCTGCCTCCAGCACGTAGGAAGCACCTGCTGTATGTACCTGAGCTGCCGCTCCTGGCGCCTGATTCTCTCCCCGCCCCTTCCAGTGCCCTCTGCTTGTTCTTCTGTGCTTTCGGCTCCCTTCCGGGGGGAGGACGGAGGGGGGGAGGGGAAGTGGGCATTTATTAAGGTCCTAGTGTTTGCACAGTCTCACACACCGCCTCTGCACCTCATTCTCCTCTCCCTCTGTGGTCCATTCCACGCAGCTTCTGTTCACTTCTGCCTGCTCTGCCTGGTCTCTCCTGGGAGGGAAGGAACTGAGCATTTGCTGAGCACCTACTGTGTGCCAGGGGAATTTGTACCGTCTCCTCTCTTTCCTTCCTGAACTCCTTCTCTATTTCCTCCGCTTTCTGACCTTCTGGCCCCTTCAGGGGGAGAGAATGGACACATGCCGAGTGCCTACTGTGTACCAGGCAGTTTACTACCCGCTCCCCGCCTCCTGAGCCCAGTTCTCCGTGAGGCCTGGGAGCCAGGCGCTTGCTCACCCCAGGTCTCAGTCAGGGAGGAGAAAGCAAAGGGGCAGGAAGACCTCCCCTGTCCCATGGGGGGGGGGGGGGACTTTCTCTCCTCCTCTATCCTCTGGTCTCCACGGACCTGTGGTCTCTGCTGTCCTCTGCTTCTTTCTGTTTTCTACCAGGACAGGAAATACGCATTTATTGAGCACCTACTGTATACCAGAGAATTTTCTTCCATTTTCCCCGTGT